TCATGTTCTGCCTGAAACTAGACCTAACAAAACCAGCCGGAGACCGGCCCTAGTCAATAGGCAGGCCCGGTTGATGTACAATTACATGTAAACGAATGAATGTAGTCTTTGTTTGATTGTGTCTTTGTTTGACAGCTTTGAGTACCTACTTGCATGGTCCCAGTTAAAAATATCAAGCTCCACATCACGTTCGTATAATTGCCTGCAGATTGATATCAATCTCGTACATGCAGATTCCGGACAATTTCAAATCGGCTCAAAATGGGCATATAGACCAAACAGGATACGCTGATCAGTGATCACGAATCCGAAGTCCGTTCCGCGGCACATATGAAACTTTTCCCGGAATTTCCGAATCCCGAATCTGCATGCGGATTCCGGACAATTTCAAATCGGCTCCAAATGGGCATATAGACCAAACAGGATACGCTGATCACGAATCCGAAGTCCGTTCCGCGGCACATATGAAACTTTTCCCGGAATTTCCGAATTCCGAATCTGCATGCGGATTCCGGACAATTTCAAATCGGCTCAAAATGGGCATATAGACCAAACAGGATACGCTGATCACGAATCCGAAGTCTGTTCCGCGGCACATATGAAACTCTTCCCGGAATTTCCGAATTCCGAATCTGCATGCAGATTCCGGACAATTTCAAATCGGCTCAAAATGGGCATATAGACCAAACAGGGTACGCTGATCACGACTCCGAAGTGTGTTCCGCGGCACATATGAAACTTTTCCCGGAATTTCCGAATTCCGAATCTGCATGCAGATTCCGGACAATTTCAAATCGGCTCAAAATGGGCATATAGACCAAACAGGATACGCTGATCACGAATCCGAAGTCCGTTCCGCGGCACATATGAAACTTTTCCCGGAATTTCCGAATTCCGAATCTGCATGCGGATTCCGGACAATTTCAAATCGGCTCAAAATGGGCATATAGACCAAACAGGATACGCTGATCACGAATCCGAAGTCCGTTCCGCGGCACATATGAAACTTTTCCCGGAATTTCCGAATTCCGAATCTGCATGCGGATTCCGGACAATTTCAAATCGGCTCAAAATGGGCATATAGACCAAACAGGATACGCTGATCACGAATCCGAAGTCCGTTCCGCGGCACATATGAAACTTTTCCCGGAATTTCCGAATTCCCTTTCCTCCCATTTTGAGCCGATTTGAAATTGTCCGGAATCCGCATGCAGATTCGGGATTCGGAAATTCCGGGAAAAGTTTCATATGTGCCGCGGAACGGACTTCGGATTCGTGATCAGCGTATCCTGTTTGGTCTATATGCCCATTTTGAGCCGATTTGAAATTGTCCGGAATCCGCATGCAGATTCGGAATTCGGAAATTCCGGGAAAAGTTTCATATGTGCCGCGGAACGGACTTCGGATTCGTGATCAGCGTATCCTGTTTGGTCTATATGCCCATTTTGAGCCGATTTGAAATTGTCCGGAATCCACATGCAGATTCGGAATTCGGAAATTCCGGGAAAAGTTTCATATGTGCCGCGGAACAGACTTCGGATTCGTGATCAGCGTATCCTGTTTGGTCTATATGCCCATTTTGAGCCGATTTGAAATTGTCCGGAATCCGCATGCAGATTCGAAATTCGGAAATTCCGGGAAAAGTTTCATATGTGCCACGGAACGGACTTCGGATTCGTGATCAGCGTATCCTGTTTGGTCTATATGCCCATTTTGAGCCGATTTGAAATTGTCCGGAATCCGCATGCAGATTCGGAATTCGGAAATTCCGGGAAAAGTTTCATATGTGCCGCGGAACGGACTTCGGATTCGTGATCAGCGTATCCTGTTTGGTCTATATGCCCATTTTGAGCCGATTTGAAATTGTCCGGAATCCGCATGCAGATTCGGAATTCGGAAATTCCGGGAAAAGTTTCATATGTGCCGCGGAACGGACTTCGGATTCGTGATCAGCGTATCCTGTTTGATCTATATGCCCATTTTGAGCCGATTTGAAATTGTCCGGAATCCGCATGCAGATTCGGAATTCGGAAATTCCGGGAAAAGTTTCATATGTGCCGCGGAACGGACTTCGGATTCGTGATCAGCGTATCCTGTTTGGTCTATATGCCCATTTTAAGCCGATTTGAAATTGTCCGGAATCCGCATGCAGATTCGGAATTCGGAAATTCCGGGAAAAGTTTCATATGTGCCGCGGAACAGACTTCGGATTCGTGATCAGCGTATCCTGTTTGGTCTATATGCCCATTTTGAGCCGATTTGAAATTGTCCGGAATCTGCATGTACGAGATTGATATCAATCTGCATGCAATTATACGAACGTCTCCACATCGGGAGAATCATCAGGTCGCTTGGCGTAGGACGAGAGCGTTGGTTTCAGAAGACACTAACGCCTAAGTGTGTGGGATCGAATCCTCGCGACCTCTAATGGTTTTACAGATATAGGCCGGCATAGGGCCAGTCGTTTGTTGACGCTCCAGATCGATCATTTTAAATCCAGCAGCGTCGCTGACGTGGGGGTTGGAAATGTCGCGGGCCTGCACTTCTCAAAATAGAGAGAGGTAGGTATGGACTTCCCACAGCTGGACTCCTCTGGTATAATGCTGGACTCCTCGGTCCACCTACTCGCTACCAAAACGTATATAATTAGGTACTCGTATCTACAACACGCTGCTCAGTTATTTTGTAAAATGGCTAGGTATTTTGTAAAATGCCTAGGCATTTTGCAAAATGACTGGAGAGTCAGTCATTTTGTAAAATGCCTAGGCTTTTTGCAAAAAGCCTGGAAAATCAGGCATTTTGCAAAATGCCTAGGCATTTTACAAAATGACTGATTTTCTAAAGTGCCTGCAACATATATTCGGTATCCGGTATTCCGCCGTAAAACTTCAACCATACTTTTCTCCTTATACAAAAAACGTAGAGCTTTTATCTTGCATAACATGCAGACTTGCATTAATTTTAGTGACCACACGCAATCAATCTTGCAAAAAACCGTCACAGAAAGTTGCCCCAGTGACGTCATCAAAACTAGCTGCTGTGTCCCGCTCAGCCGTCTTAGCGGTTGTGTCACGTTCAACCGTTCCAGCGACGTCGCCGTGGGGACCTGCGGTGTCTCCCCATTCCTCACACACCCAGCCGCCCTGTGTCACGTGCACTGGGCAGCCGTTCCAGCGGCGCCGCACTAGGTGTCTCCCCACAGCTCACCCCGCCGCTCCTCGCGGTCAGAAGTCGTGACGGGCGACTGCCATCGCCAGGATATCGGAAAGGCCAGTTCAGGGCGCTACCATTAGTCACTGGATGGCGGTAGATGTCCGAGATACGAGCACGACTGACTTTACCCGAGGAAAATTGTGAAATGCGGAGAATGAAGGGAATGTTAGAAGACTGGAATAAGTAGCTATGAATAACGGTTAAATGCTGACGAAGTTATCAGATGTCAGCACATTTCTGCACGTGGCGATCTGTTCTGATGAGTTCTCGAAAGGCTGACATGAGTGGTAAAGCCTCCCGGACGATGCTACCGAAGCTGCTTGGGGGATAACAAAACATAAATAAATAACGAGGAAGAGCAAGGAGCTAACCTTCAAAAATGCCGGCAATAGGTACTGGTTGTTACAAACATCGGACTGTCGAATTAGAATGTAACGAGTCACTGTGAAGGGGAGTGAATGTGATGTGTTTGGAATATAACGGCGAATACCGCTGTGAAAAAGATCACCGGTACCTACCTCCAGCCAGTTTAACCCTCGCCAGTATTGGTGTGTTGCCAGCCTTGAACGTATAAGGGTGTGTGTGTGGGTGGGTGGGGGGGGGGAGTCCGTTGGGCCCCCTACCCTGCCGTTTCGTCCCTGATTGAGCTAGAGCTTCACAGAAAAAGGAGCGTGTTGCCCGTGACGAGAGGAAGCCGATGATACCCAATTTTAAGGTCCTAGGTCATTGGTTGGCCTTCCAGGTCAGGTCATTGACCCAAAAGTCGGGAAAATCGGGACCTGTTAGAACGTCGTAAAGTGGGGCTTCTATGGGGTCTGTCGGAGTGCCGATCACGAATACCATGTAAGTTTTGATCACAGATGATGACTTCAGGCATTTAGGCCAGATCGGGTCAGGTCAGGTCAACCAGTAGGGGTCCTGCCGAGTATTCTTAGTAGGTGTCAACCGCCTCTGACAGCTTCGTACATGTTACAAAGAAACCGAAACTACTTCGTAAATGTTCAAATGGTTGCTAAATTTGAATTCAGCTCCAAACACTAGCCTAGAAACATGTAAAACTCGAAAAAGTGAGCCGAGGTCATCAAAGGTCTATGACCTGACCTGACTTTCAGGTGACATTGACACTCACCCTAATGCATGGGGCTTTATTTGACATACTTGAACGTTAAAAACTACAAAAATACTGTAAACGCGCTGATAATGCTAGCTGACATACGCCGAATCGCGATTCCGGCCAGACATAGGTATTCTCGAAAAATAGTTCACAGGTCAAAGGTCATTTGGGTCAGGGTCATGACATTTGCAGAGTAGGTGTAAAATGGATTATTTTGAGGGTGTCGTCGTGATCGGACGGACGGTTTTTACGCGAGTTATTTGCGAAAAACCGAGGTCCCTTCGACCACTCACCCTATAGGTGTGAGGGTTAAGAGCAGGAAAGAAACGCCGAAAAACAATAATCAAATGTAAGGAGGCACATTAGCTTTTGCCGTGTCAATCAAAGAGTCGAAAAGTGATTGGCAATAGTTTTTTTTTTTGGCAATGAACATGCTTTAGTTCGAATGCCTGACTTCACTGCGACGGGTAAATTGCGAAAAAAGAGAGCAAGAAGTCAGTTTGCGCCCTTCGGTATCACGCAACGATACAACGTGTGAGGGCTGAGGTGTTCTAAAGAACAATTACAAGTGGTAGGTAAGCAAAAACTGCGCAATGTCGCACGAATGCTACAGGAAATCTCTGAAAAGTAGTAAATTTGTAACTGGTCTCCCAATTCAGCGCGGGCTACTCACCAGTAACGTTTTCATCTTGATCTGGATCCCTGCCTTCCACCTCCGGGAGATAATTTTGTGAAACTTTCACTGACCCTTGACGGCTCGTCGGTGACCTTGGATGGACTCTGATGACCTTTGGTGACCTTGAGCAGCTGGCGGTGGTGACGTCAGTGACCTCTGCCCCCCTCTCCTCCGCTCCTCTCTCCCGCTCTCTCTCCCCGCACCCGCCGCCGCCCGCCGCCGCCGCCGACTGACCCGCTCCCGTCGGCCAGCCTCCCGCCCTCTCCCCCCTCTCTCCTCCCAGAGCGGTAATCCCAGACCGCCTCTCACGCTACTACCAGTGACGTCATCAACTCCTGCAGCAGTGACGTCACAAGGTCCGGCACCAGTGACGGGCAGCAGCTCGGCAGCTCCAGATTCAACCGGCTTTGACAGGTCAAAAATCTTTTTCTCTAACTTCATCGCAAATGACCTGCTTTCTCGTTAAGCGTCGACCTCAATACTTGCTCGATTCCGTTGAATGCTTATTGGTGATATGATATGGTATAGTGAATAAAGGTATTTCCAGCTCAGAAGGAATTTTAAAGAGTCCACGACCTGCTGTGGAAAGTATCATACGCTCAACTTACACAATATGCAATGTAGCAATAGTTTCGTACTCCCGACTTACGCAGCATCAATGTAACAACAGTTTCTGCCGTTCATACTAATCTCGTATGAGTCTGAACGCCAGAAGCCTCTGCTTTTAAAGTTGGGCCGGATCCTAACTTGAGTCTGTGACGTCAATTGCCTTCACAATTTGGAAACTTCTACCGATGAAGTTACCAGGAAGTCTTCAATTCATTTTGAATAGAAAATAAGCGTCTTTTTATCAGCGAGCTGACCGAAATAATGCACCTCGATTTTGCTCTATCGCATAACTTTATCTAATTTCGAACAGGATGTTTTCACCAGGAAATGCATTCTGCGAGGTTTCGCGGGATATCCAAAGGGAAGTTTACTGACTGGTTAATTACGAAAAGCAGCTCTTAGCTGAGTAACGGTAAAAGGTAATTGGTAATAGGTATTCCATCCGTGCAGAGAAGTGATTGGCAATCGTCCATAATTTACTTGCTAAATGACGATGTTACGATGTTTTAAGAGTTACCGTCGCGTTACTAAATACGACTGTGCGTGTTTCCGAATTAGTCACGTGCGAATTATCCCGGATCACCTAATCATTAAATTGGAATATGGGTTATTCCAATCTATGGCACGAATGGAGCAGCATGTGCCGCAAATCTACGGAAAACGTAGCTCGAAGTAGCATTGGAAAGTATGTTTGACCTGGTTTTCCAAAGGTATTTCGAACATACGGGCATCCCGAAGGTCGAGGTTCCACAATTAGTAGCTATACTTAGCGCTGTCCCCAGCCATCAACAATCACTGTTCCATATGAAAGTAACAACTGAGAGTGGCATTCTAAGAATCACTCTAGCGCGAAAACCCACCCAACAAGCCTGGGTATGCGCGTGGGATGCATGGAATATGTCGAAGGTTGCGGATTATTGGCTGCAATCGATAATCGATCAGCGACAGACGTGAATTTTCAGCGGCATAGCGGCAAACAGTGCACGAGGGTTTGTTCAGCGAAATTCGGAAAGACGTTGGAACTTTTTATGATGTTTCGCTCAAGGCCATATATATAGGAGGTAGCGACACTGAGCGGTTTGTTTATATTACTAGTAATATTACTAAGTGCTCGAGCGAGGAACATATTGAATATAATTAGATAAATAAAAGAAGTTGACCTTTTCCTCGACATCAAAAATGTAAAAAGCCGAATAATATATTTTAAAAAAAAAACGGTGAACTTTCGGCCACTGGCCTTTATCAAACCAACGTGATAACGGTTTGTTTATAGCCAGTTTCGATCCCGATGACGCAAATGTGTCGTTACGGGACAAAACAATATGGCCACCTCTTATGTTTCGCTTATCGACGCTGCGCTGCTCCGGCTGCGGGAATCAGTCGGCGAAGTTCGAGGCGTTCTCACGCCTCTCCGTGCCGATGCCAGCCAGGGCCAGTCGGTGCTCGCTCCACGAGTGCATCCAGCTTTTGGTGGGGGGGGGGGGGGGGGGGGCGACACAATCAGCGGCTGGACTTGCCCGGAGCGTCAGAGCAGCAACGGGGCCACCAAGCGGCTGGACTCAACATCTACGTTCAGCGGTTCTACCGCTTCTACAACGACGGCGCGTGGAAGAAGAATATGTCCAGCGTCCAGTTTCCGCTAAACAAAAAACCGGACATGTCGTCGTACGTGGCCAACAAAGATGCACATCGACGGCATCACAAGTACGACCTATTCTGTGTGGTGAACCACTGCGGTTCCATAGACAGCGGCCACTACACGGCCTTCTGTCGCGCACCCAACGCGGACGGATGGCATACATACGACGACGGAGAGGTGCACGAACTGGACAGGGGAAGCGTGCAAAGCTCAGCCGGCTGCATACTGTTTTACTCGGCCATCGAGGAGCGGCTAAAGGCTCTGCCACTTCCGCCAGTGATCGAATGAACGTGAAGCTGTCCTCCATTCGAGAGGATACTGTGAGATTGTAATGACTGTGTATGATGTGTTGCACAGCGCTTACCACCGAAATGAATATATAGATTATTTCTATTGTTGCAGTCGACATTATGTGAATTAGTTTTTTTCGTACATGACCAATGACATCGTCTCCCTGCTTGCTCACCTCCAGCAGTGCGTTGTTTTCATTTATCGTCCCATTTGCTGAACAGAACTACTCACAGTGAGTGACTCGGGCCCGATCTGTGTGCAGTTCTGCACGGATCTGTGTTAACAGGAGGGTCGCGTGCCGCGCGCGATGTGCAGCCGCATCCCGGTGGCCACTTTCGTTACTCGGGAGGCTGTTCAGTGACGTCATTGGCTCCACGGACACGTTACACTGAGGTGTGGGTCCTGCGTGTTCGGCTACTCCCGGCGGAGAGAAGGTACCACGAGCTGTATGCCATCACGGATCCGGTTTTCATTGAATAGAATATTCATCTAAATTTGTGTATGTGTAACATCGTCATTGCCGTAGATAACGTAGAAACATATGGACTATGCTTTTCATGTCATCTGACAAGAGCAGTATCATACCCTGGATTCCATAATAGATCACACTAAAGATCAGTTACGTAATTCGACCACACACACATTTTGATCACATCTACACATTCCCGCATCCCAAAATAGCATCCGGTATGCTGACTTGCGATCCTGCGCCCATAGAGATCGTCTATAAACGGTATGCCTGCACCATAGCAGCTATCGATTCACGATGTCCGGTACGTGCGAATGGATGACATCATCCTATCGTTGCCGTAAATACCGGCTTCACACGCACAGACCCGCCCCCTGCTAACACCACCCACGCACCATCAGCCGCCCATCCGCATACAGCTCGGAATTCCCGCCAAAATTTCCCGCCACACATTGGCGCCATTTAGCGCGGGCCGATCCGGAACTGAACGCCAATCACCGCTCCCCTCCATCGTCAGCCGGTTAACTGCGCCGGCCAAATCGCCGTTTTAGCGCGCGGCCGGCACGCGACCGGCGCGCGCGCGCGCGCTCCCAGCCGAAATGGCGGGAGCTGGCCGGATTGGCGCCAATCTGATTGGCTCCATGGGCAGGGCGCGCCCCAGTAGACCCGGCGGGCCGAGCTGACCCGCCGGGCAGTTCCACCGGGAGGTGCCGACATAAATGAGCGGGGCGCGGTGGGATGGACCGCGGAGGAACGTATTGCTCAGACGGAGGAACGGACTGTTCAGACGGAGGAGCTGGCAGTGCTCGCGGACGGGGGACACAGCTTGTGGACCTTCGAGAGCCGCCTGTGGGCCTTAGAGAGCGGCTCAGAAGAGGTCGAAAGCTGCTGGAGGGCCTTCGAGACCTGCCTGAGGGCCTTCGAGAGCCGTCTGTGGGCCTTCGAGAGCGGCTGGAGGACCTTCAAGAGTTACTCGAGGGCGTTTGAGAGCCGCTGAAGGAAGTTCAAGAGCTGTGACTGAAGTGGCAGATCGAGCAGATCTGTTGGCAAGCAACAGGATTTGTGTGTCTTTGTCAAATAAGTTCACGGAGTTCTCCGTTGGGAACTCCGAGCAGAAACTGTCAGCTTCAACATCAGCGCTGAAGCCCTCGAAGCTCAATCAGCCACAAAAAATAGATCTCCCAGCAAACGGTGCTTCAGTGCTTCAGTGCTTCAGTGCTAATATAAGGACTTTCAACTTCATCTAGCGGCTCAGCCATCGCGCAGGTCTCCAGTTGAAGTTGGTGTGGCGCGTCATTTTGGAGCTTGGAGCCGCGCTGATACCTGTTGGGCAGTCGGCGGCACCATCTGATACCTGTTGGGGAGTCGGCGACACAATCTGATACCTGTTGGGGAGTCGGCGGCACCATCTGATACCTGTTGGGGAGTCGGCGACACAATCTGATACCTGTTGGGGAGTCGGCGGCACCATCTGATTGATACCTGTTGGGCAGTCGGTGACACCATCTGATACCTGTTGGGGAGTCGGCGGCACCATCTGATACCTGTTGGGGAGTCGGCGGCACCATCTGATACGTGTTGGGGAGTCGGCGGCACCATCTGATATACCTGTTGGGGAGTCAGCGGCACCCTCTGATACCTGTTGGGGTGTCGGTGGCACCATCTGCAACATGCAGCCGAAACGGGTAAGCAACTCAGTATCTACTTTTCACTTCTTATTTACCCTATCAATGGTCATTGGTGTGAAGTTGGTTACTCGACAAGGATTCTGGATTTCGGTCGTTTTATATATGTATTTGGTGTGGGGGGGGGGAGGGGCTTATCCCAGGATAGCAATGCCTCTCTTGTTATTGCTATCCGCGAGCAAGAAACAGCCGGTATTTAACTGCACACAAAGCAGAAACCTAAGACAACCTAAGTCAAACCTAAGTTCACAGCAAAGAAGAATTTACTTGCGCAAGCAGGGCTGGAGAAATGATTTCAGAGGTGGGGGGGACTAGGCCTCGAGGGGCCCTCAAGGAAAAGGGCCCCAAGTGTCTCAAAGGGCCCAAAATCATATTACCTTCCAAGGGCGGATCTAGGGGAACGTTTGGGAGGGGGTCACAAGTCGGCCGACATGCCGGGTCTGATGGATGAATGGATGAATTCTGACGAACAGGGGGGGGGGGGGGGGGTAGGGAGCGAGTATGTCGAGATCAAATGACATTTGATCTTCGTCGTTTC